GATCTACCACAACAAGCTCGAAGTAAGATAAATTTGTAAGATGGGATACGCACGTAAACAAAAATTAAAAAAATTTAAAATGAAACTATGATATTTGATCCATACAAGAAACAATGGGTCTTTATACAACTGTGAGTGGTATTTAATCATAACATGAAATTGGGTCTGCTACACATTGTAGTGTTAGTTAAATATGGGGTTGGTACTGGTGACTGTCAACGAGAACAGTTGATAACTTCGTGCGAGTCTTAAGTGTAATGTCGTTGTCTGTCATGTGTAGGAAATGACTCTTATAATAATAATCATAATTGCTGTATGCATTTATTATTAAAGTCCATTTTAATAAATTCCTGCAGTTGTTAATGTAACCGATCGATCCCTTATATGACACAACATATCTGGCGACGAGGCTTTGAACCTGAAGCGTGAACATAAAGCGTCGTTTGTGACCGTGAAACCTAAAACAAAATGGCTCTTATTGGTACAATCCTTCTCTTATATATATGGTACAATCGAACCGTTTGCACCTGGAACTTCGGATATCGAAGCATACATAGAAAGAATGGATCTGCTATTTATCTGTAATATAGTCGAAGAAGATAAAAAGGTTCCGTTGTTTCTAACTTTAATAGGAACGGAAACATACTCGATTTTAAAAGACCTGGTATCACCAGATAACCCCAAGAGTAAAAGCTACAGTCAGTTAAAGGAAGCGCTAACTACACATTTTAGTGCAAAAAAGATTGTCATAGCAGAGAGGTTTCGTTTCTATCGGTGTAGTCAGGGGGTGAATGGGTCTGTGGGGGAATTTGTCCGAAAGTTGAAGAAACTTGCACGGGATTGCCAATTTGGAACATTTTTAAGTGAAGCTTTGCGTGACCGATTTGTATGCGGGTTATTAAAGGAGAACATTCAAACGAAATTGTTGTCGGAGAGTGACCTTACGTTCGAGAAAGCATGCAGTACAGCACTCTCCATGGAAACTGCATCTGAGCAAACAAAAAGTCTACAACCAGCTGATGTCAACAAAGTTATGAAAAAACAGCAGTTCAAAACGTCAAAAGTTTATCCAACTCACGAAAGTCAAGGTGATCGTGAGAACTTCAAGTTCAGCAAAAAGGAAAACTACAAGCCATGCTTTCGTTGTAATCGAAAACATAACCCAAGTACGTGTCCGGCAGCTAATTGGGATTGCTTCCTATGTCATAGGAAGCTAGCCCAAGTAACACGAGAAATACTTTTATGCCACCATAGCCAAAAATTAGCTGTGAAAACGTTTTCGCAGTACCTTAATCGCTGAATATTGGCAAGCTGCAATGTAGCTTTACTATTTGGCTGTAGCAGCGCTACTAAAGTTCCAACTGTTGGAAAATAAGCTTGGAATTCCATTTGGCAGTTATTTGGTCATCACATCGCTTAGAAAGCAACAGATTTTGCCATGTGACAGTCATTTAAGTGCGCTGCATTTTAGCTTAAATTTTAGGTGGGACAGCGCTACCTTAACCTCATAAGAAAGCGAATTCGCTTGAAATTCTGTTTGGTTGAGATTTGGCAGTTAGGTTAGTCATTTCAGCCGCGAATTCTGGCATTCTGGATTAAAAAAGCAGCTGATTTGTGTTTATAAGTATATAAGCGATTCTTATAGGTGTTATTATTAGTTATGGGGAAGTTCAAACTCTCAAGTGCTAATTTTCAAAAATTGAAAAATTTCAAATTAAGTGGAACCTATTATAGACACATTAAAAAGTCGGTGAAGTCGGACTTTACAACTATCAATGCTACGAAAGAGTACGAAATAAACATTTAAGACATTTAACATTTAAGTGAAACCAATGATATACAAATCCCTAATCAGGTGTGTGATTTTACATTTAAACCAATATTCTACTTTAAACCTTTACCTATACACTTACAGAAACTGCCTCTTTCCTTATTACCAGTTGATGAAACAATCGATTCATCAAACAGTGACGATCAAGAATGCGTTGAAGAAAGTTATTTACGAAATAACAGTGACTCGCAAGATGAAGATGTAATAACTTACAATTTCAATGAAAAGTTACGACAATGGGCCATTTCATTTAATATCTCTCATGTTGCCATTACAGCATTGTTAACGATGTTACATGTACTTAAATTACCTAACCTACCAAAATCATCAAGAACACTTTTACAAACCCCCAGAGAAACAACAATTGCGAAAATGGGCAATGGCCATTATTGGCATAATATGGACTCGAAAAGGGAATTGTTAACTTACTACCTAAGATTGATAGTGCAACTAATTTAGAATTAAGTTTCAATATTGATGGGTTACCAATATACAACAGTACAAAAATGGAATTTTGGCCCATTTTGTGTTTAATAAACAATATGCGAAACTTGCATCCATTCGTAGTGGGCATTTATTGTGGTACCACCAAACCACCCAGTGTTCAGGGTTATTTAACACCATTTGTAGAAGAAATAAAACCTCTTTTAAAGAATGGGATTTTCATTAATGGAATAAAATGCAGTTTAAAGGTGAGATGCTTCATTTGCGACACTCCAGCTCGTTCATTTGCAAAAGGTAAGGATACTAAGGTATAGGAAATAGCAGAATTTAAATTTTAATTGCAGGTGTTGTGAATTTCAATGCATATAACAGATGCACAAGATGTACGGTCATTGGAGAATACAATCATGAATCTCATCGTATGAGTTTTCCGCGCATTGATTTGAACGTAATTTGGCTCAAACACTTAAATTATGATTAAAAACACTACTATTAATAAACAAAAACAACGCTTCGCTTAACACTCGCGAGTTCAGAACTATTCGTCATGTTACAGATTAGCGCAGATGGATATTTCGATGCACGCAATTTGGTATGTTTCTATAGACGGTAAAGGCAGGAGTTCGAATCCGACCACCTCCAGAGAATCGCTACTAAAAAAAGTATGTGTAGGTGAAAACGATGGCGGTATGAAACGCGCTAATAAAAAAAATGTGTATGGTAGGAACAAATAGGATCCGCAGAAACACCAATAATGAATTAATTTTATTTTTTTTTCCTTTTTAATAAAAACAGATTTAGGCTGCAGTTTGGTCACAGTGTTGGCTGTCGTGACGTTATGACAGCGCATAATTTTAACTGACGTTAACGTTAACGATGCGCTTTTGCTGCTCGACATTCTAACCACCACTGCCAATCCAAATGGCTGAGGTGACGTCTTAGCAGCTTGATTATGACTCGCCATTTTGGCAGTAGGTACGTCTTCACATCGCTGCTACATTTCTTTCGCAGAAACTGCGCCAAACTATTTGGCTGCGAGTATAGCTGCAAATACGTACTGATGGCCATTATACAGCACGTTGTGTTACTTGGGAGGGGCACACCTCAACAGTATGCCGTGCAAAGAAGAGCAGGTGGGTCAGTCAAGTCGAAGAGATGGAGTCCGAACATCAAGGGGGGCGTGGACGTGCTAGAATTAAACCAAGTTACAGCTGTAGGAGAAGAAAACGGCGACCTGCAAGGGGTTCATTCCTTAACGGCGGAAATGAATACAGTTCGCAGTCTCGCAATCAGTCACGTATCAAACAAAAAGTCGGTACCTGTCCTATGTAAAGTCTATGTAAATAATAATCCAATAGTTATGGAAATAGACACAGGGGCAGCTGTAAGTATTTGTTGTCAACAATACTTTAGTTGTAATTTTAGCTCGGAGCGAATAAGAGGTACAGACATTAAAATGCAAGATGTCGGGAAACGAGATCAAGAGTGTAGGACAAATGAATGTAAGAGTGTCGTTGAGTGCTACTGGTCCAAGTCATATGTTGTCGTTGATTGTATCTAGAACGAAAAATAGTTCCTTCCCGCTCATGGGTCGGAATTGGCTTGATGTAATATTACCGTCATGGCGAAGTGCCTTTAGTCCTTATTCAAGGAACTTTGACACCAGTATATGTTCTATTACGGGGAACGATATTGTCTCAGATTTAAAAAAGCAATTTCCCAAAGTCTTTTCCGAAAACAAAGTCAATGGCATAACTGGTATCAAGGCTCGTTTAGTTCTAAAAGATGATGCGAGTATGGTTTATCACAAAGCATATACAGTGCCATACAAAATGAAAGAGTTGATAGAAAGTAAGTTAAAGACCATGATTAAAGATGGTATTCTAATTCCGGTAACACACGCAGATATTGCTAGTCCCATAGTGTGTGTTCCAAAACAAAATGGTGGTATTCGAATATGTGTAGATTTTAAGAAAACCCTTAACCCTGTCCTGAGAACCGATTACTACCCTCTCCCTACCTTGGATGAAATCTGTCATAATATCAAGAATGGTAAAGTTTTCACAATTCTAGATCTGTCGGAGGCGTATTTGCAATTACCTGTCGAAGAGCAAAGTCAAGAGCTCTTAACTATCAACACCCATATGGGCTTAATGAGATTCACTAGACTTCCATATGGCGTCTCAAGTGCTCCTGCAATTTTTCAGTCTACCATGGAAAGGGTCCTAGAAGGTCTTAAGGTAGGAATTTATATTGATCCCAGTCAACATTGTAACGTAACCGATTCATAAATATAATAGTTAACTAGGTGGTTCGTTATGTATCTAGTAACTTAAATGTTACATGCAAGTAACACAAAACGCCTAGCACTGTTATGTAACGGTGTAACGTAACGAATACGTCACGCTATGTAACATACATGTATATATATGTTACATGAACGTAATAAGTAACACAACGGAATGTCACAACAAATAACCCAGTTATGTATCGTATATAGGTACAAACATACATTACATTAGAGTAATATGTAATGCAACTGAAGGTTTAAGCAAATATGTAACATATATGTAACATTACGTTGCATGGGGGTTGTATGTAACGCAACTGAAGGTTACAGTAAATATGGTAGTTACGCAACAAATATGTATATGTTAGTATACATGAGAGCCTTATGTAACGCAAACGAAGGCTACAGTAATGTAAAAATAACTAACTGCAGCAGTGAAAAAATAAAGATATATTCTTATAAAATAAAACAAAATAACAATTCCTAAAAATGTAGAATATTATCACAATAGATACATTTCAAATATTCATTAATAATATATAATAAAATTATTGATTTTGGAGAGGTTTTTCTCTTGACTGTCTCAGCGTGCTTAAGCGTAACCACTCACCCACCTTCAATTCAATGGTACTTTCGCTAGTGTCGGGGAAAGTTTGCCGAACGGCATCTGGATAAAAGAAAGTTCTATAAGGCAAACTGCGTTCCCACCAAAACAGTTTTCATTATGTAAAAATAGTGCATCAATTCCAAATGCTTGAACGGAAAATGATTCGTTTTCCCAAGAAGGGAACAGCTAATCCCCAAACAAAAAAAGGTGGAATATAAATTTATACTTACACAAACACTGAACCAAAACAACACCGACTTATTTCAATATAGCGTCAAAAAGAACTTTATCTTTCGCTTGAAGTTGACTGTTGAGGTCGAGGTTGAGGTTATGTGTCCCGTAGCCGTTAACCTTTACTTTTCACTAGAGGTATATGCGTACTTCTTTTCAGATATACTTCACCTAACGAAATAGGTAATATGAATTAATTGTATTAGAAAATAACGGTTTAACATCAAAAAGAAACAAGTTTTTACCTCTTCTCACAAAAAACCGTAGATAAACACCACAAAAATTCCGTTCATCAACAGCGTGTCACATAGGAGATAGAAATGGCGTCTCACGACTCTCACGACAGTACGAGACTGCGCAAAAGATGGTGTACCTATTTTATGGATAAGAAAAAAAATTTTGTATTAACAACCTTGATGTACCTTCATATGCCATTATAGCTCATCATTAGAATGGCCACTTTGAGACTTTGACTTCCCTAAGACCCTAACAGTGCTTCAAGCGGTTTGGGCCAATTTCAACCACTATGTTACATATCATTTCGGTTACAATTGTAACATAACTTTGATACCTTCTAGAACCCTGTCAGTTATATAAGTGATTATTACGTGTTTGGTATAGAACATTCCAACTTCTATGTTACATATCATTTCGATTACAATTGTAACATAACTTTGTTACCTTCTAGAGCCCTTTCAGTTATGTAAGTGATTTTTACGTGTTTGGTATAGAACATTCCAACTTCTATGTTACATATCATTTCGATTACAATTGTAACATAACTTTGTTACCTTCTAGAGCCCTTTTAGTTATGTAAGTGATTATTACGTGCGTGCAGGTTTTGTGGCGAGGTAGAGGAAACTACCGAGCATGTAGTCTGTTACTGTGACGCTCTGATCAGGGACAGACATAAACTCCTCGGTGACAGTTACTTGGAACCGAGGGAGGTGAGGAAACTAAGGCTAAACAGGGTCTTATCCTTCATTGAAGGGAACGGACTCTAAGCTTTGGTTGTTTAGAGAGGGGGTTAGCACAATGGGCCTTTGATGAGCCTAAGTGCTGCCTGTAAAGGCTCCCCTGATAGAATAGAATAGAATTACGTGTTTGGTATAGAACATTCCAACTTCTATGTTACATATCATTTCGATTACAATTGTAACATAACTTTGTTACCTTCTAGAGCCCTTTCAGTTATGTGTAAGTGATTTTTACGTGTTTGGTATAGAACATTCCAACTTCTATGTTACATATCATTTCGATTACAATTGTAACATAACTTTGTTACCTTCTAGAGCCCTCTCAGTTATGTAAGTGATTATTACGTGTTTGGTATAGAACATTCCAACCTCTATGTTACATATCATTTCAGTTACAATTGTTACATATCTTTGTTACCTTTTAGAGCCCTTTCAGTTACATATCATTTCAGTTACAACTGTAACATATCAATGTTACTTAGTAGAGCTCTTTCAGTTATGTAACCGAGAGTTACGTGTTGACTGGGNTATACGTTCATACCACTTCTTATATTAGTATCTAATATTAATTTAAGTATGAACTTGTTACAAATTTTTTTCCACCCTCTACGAATTTTTTTATGTTTTTACTAGTGTAGGGTGGATTAACCCCTTAAACTCTAAATATTTGCAAAGCTATACGTTCATACCACTTCTTATATTAGTATCTAATATTAATTTAAGTATGAACTTGTTACAAATTTTTTTCCACCCTCTACGAATTTTTTTATGTTTTTACTAGTGTAGGGTGGATTAACCCCTTAAACTCTAAATATTTGCAAAGCTATACGTTCATACCACTTCTTATATTAGTATCTAATATTAATTTAAGTATGAACTTGTTACAAATTTTTTTCCACCCTCTACGAATTTTTTTATGTTTTTACTAGTGTAGGGTGGATTAACCCCTTAAACTCTAAATATTTGCAAAGCTATACGTTCATACCACTTCTTATATTAGTATCTAATATTAATTTAAGTATGAACTTGTTACAAATTTTTTTCCACCCTCTACGAATTTTTTTATGTTTTTACTAGTGTAGGGTGGATTAACCCCTTAAACTCTAAATATTTGCAAAGCTATACGTTCATACCACTTCTTATATTAGTATCTAATATTAATTTAAGTATGAACTTGTTACAAATTTTTTTCCACCCTCTACGAATTTTTTTATGTTTTTACTAGTGTAGGGTGGATTAACCCCTTAAACTCTAAATATTTGCAAAGCTATACGTTCATACCACTTCTTATATTAGTATCTAATATTAATTTAAGTATGAACTTGTTACAAATTTTTTTCCACCCTCTACGAATTTTTTTATGTTTTTACTAGTGTAGGGTGGATTAACCCCTTAAACTCTAAATATTTGCAAAGCTATACGTTCATACCACTTCTTATATTAGTATCTAATATTAATTTAAGTATGAACTTGTTACAAATTTTTTTCCACCCTCTACGAATTTTTTTATGTTTTTACTAGTGTAGGGTGGATTAACCCCTTAAACTCTAAATATTTGCAAAGCTATACGTTCATACCACTTCTTATATTAGTATCTAATATTAATTTAAGTATGAACTTGTTACAAATTTTTTTCCACCCTCTACGAATTTTTTTATGTTTTTACTAGTGTAGGGTGGATTAACCCCTTAAACTCTAAATATTTGCAAAGCTATACGTTCATACCACTTCTTATATTAGTATCTAATATTAATTTAAGTATGAACTTGTTACAAATTTTTTTCCACCCTCTACGAATTTTTTTATGTTTTTACTAGTGTAGGGTGGATTAACCCCTTAAACTCTAAATATTTGCAAAGCTATACGTTCATACCACTTCTTATATTAGTATCTAATATTAATTTAAGTATGAACTTGTTACAAATTTTTTTCCACCCTCTACGAATTTTTTTATGTTTTTACTAGTGTAGGGTGGATTAACCCCTTAAACTCTAAATATTTGCAAAGCTATACGTTCATACCACTTCTTATATTAGTATCTAATATTAATTTAAGTATGAACTTGTTACAAATTTTTTTCCACCCTCTACGAATTTTTTTATGTTTTTACTAGTGTAGGGTGGATTAACCCCTTAAACTCTAAATATTTGCAAAGCTATACGTTCATACCACTTCTTATATTAGTATCTAATATTAATTTAAGTATGAACTTGTTACAAATTTTTTTCCACCCTCTACGAATTTTTTTATGTTTTTACTAGTGTAGGGTGGATTAACCCCTTAAACTCTAAATATTTGCAAAGCTATACGTTCATACCACTTCTTATATTAGTATCTAATATTAATTTAAGTATGAACTTGTTACAAATTTTTTTCCACCCTCTACGAATTTTTTTATGTTTTTACTAGTGTAGGGTGGATTAACCCCTTAAACTCTAAATATTTGCAAAGCTATACGTTCATACCACTTCTTATATTAGTATCTAATATTAATTTAAGTATGAACTTGTTACAAATTTTTTTCCACCCTCTACGAATTTTTTTATGTTTTTACTAGTGTAGGGTGGATTAACCCCTTAAACTCTAAATATTTGCAAAGCTATACGTTCATACCACTTCTTATATTAGTATCTAATATTAATTTAAGTATGAACTTGTTACAAATTTTTTTCCACCCTCTACGAATTTTTTTATGTTTTTACTAGTGTAGGGTGGATTAACCCCTTAAACTCTAAATATTTGCAAAGCTATACGTTCATACCACTTCTTATATTAGTATCTAATATTAATTTAAGTATGAACTTGTTACAAATTTTTTTCCACCCTCTACGAATTTTTTTATGTTTTTACTAGTGTAGGGTGGATTAACCCCTTAAACTCTAAATATTTGCAAAGCTATACGTTCATACCACTTCTTATATTAGTATCTAATATTAATTTAAGTATGAACTTGTTACAAATTTTTTTCCACCCTCTACGAATTTTTTTATGTTTTTACTAGTGTAGGGTGGATTAACCCCTTAAACTCTAAATATTTGCAAAGCTATACGTTCATACCACTTCTTATATTAGTATCTAATATTAATTTAAGTATGAACTTGTTACAAATTTTTTTCCACCCTCTACGAATTTTTTTATGTTTTTACTAGTGTAGGGTGGATTAACCCCTTAAACTCTAAATATTTGCAAAGCTATACGTTCATACCACTTCTTATATTAGTATCTAATATTAATTTAAGTATGAACTTGTTACAAATTTTTTTCCACCCTCTACGAATTTTTTTATGTTTTTACTAGTGTAGGGTGGATTAACCCCTTAAACTCTAAATATTTGCAAAGCTATACGTTCATACCACTTCTTATATTAGTATCTAATATTAATTTAAGTATGAACTTGTTACAAATTTTTTTCCACCCTCTACGAATTTTTTTATGTTTTTACTAGTGTAGGGTGGATTAACCCCTTAAACTCTAAATATTTGCAAAGCTATACGTTCATACCACTTCTTATATTAGTATCTAATATTAATTTAAGTATGAACTTGTTACAAATTTTTTTCCACCCTCTACGAATTTTTTTATGTTTTTACTAGTGTAGGGTGGATTAACCCCTTAAACTCTAAATATTTGCAAAGCTATACGTTCATACCACTTCTTATATTAGTATCTAATATTAATTTAAGTATGAACTTGTTACAAATTTTTTTCCACCCTCTACGAATTTTTTTATGTTTTTACTAGTGTAGGGTGGATTAACCCCTTAAACTCTAAATATTTGCAAAGCTATACGTTCATACCACTTCTTATATTAGTATCTAATATTAATTTAAGTATGAACTTGTTACAAATTTTTTTCCACCCTCTACGAATTTTTTTATGTTTTTACTAGTGTAGGGTGGATTAACCCCTTAAACTCTAAATATTTGCAAAGCTATACGTTCATAGCACTTCTTATATTAGTATCTAATATTAATTTAAGTATGAACTTGTTACAAATTTTTTCCACCCTCTACGAATTTTTTAATGTTTTTACTAGTGTAGGGTAGATTAACCCCTTAAACTCTAAATATTTGCAAAGCTATACGTTCATAGCACTTCTTATATTAGTATCTAATGTTAATTTAAGTATGAACTTGTTACAAATTTTTTTCCACCCTCTACGAATTTTTTAATGTTTTTACTAATGTAGGGTGGATTAACCCCTTCAACTCTAAATATTTGCAAAGCTATACGTTCATACCACTTCTTATATTAGTATCTAATATTAATTTAAGTATGAACTTGTTACAAATTTTTTTCCACCCTCTACGAATTTTTTTATGTTTTTACTAATGTAGGGTGGATTAACCCCTTAAACTCTAAATATTTGCAAAGCTATACGTTCATAGCACTTCTTATATTAGTATCTAATGTTAATTTAAGTATAAACTTGTTACAAATTTTTTTCTACCCTCTAAGAATTTTTTAATGTTTTGTTTTTAGTGTAGGGTAGATTATACCTTTATATTTTAAATATTTGCAAAGTTATATCTTTGACAATTGGGTACTAACCCTTTAACCCTATTTTTTTTAGTAATAAATTATAATTTCGAAGTATTTATATGGTCCACTGTAAAAATTCGTTTCTCATTTCTGAAGCTGATGCTAACTTCAACGACGTATTAGGGAAACGTAGGACCCAGGATAATTAATAATTCATAATGTTTCTAAGAATTTTAAATGTACTACTTGTGATTATGAAACAAATTATAAATTTGATCTTAACAAACACCTTTTAAAAAGTAAAGTTTTGAAGGATTTTAAATGTGGTATTTGTGATTATGTAATCTATTAATGCTTGTGGGTTC